AGGTTAAGTAGATTGCAAAAGCCAGGCCAGGAATAAAATGAGGGTGTGGAGATGAACAGTGAAGTGGGATAATCATGGCAGTGATGCATCTGTTCTGCCAGTCCAGTGTCAGCCTCAACAAACACCAGCTTCCAGACCAGCTCTAATATTGGTGATCTCATGGATGTACATCTCAGAACAATGGGCAGTTGGCGAGTTGCTGACTAATGGAGTTATCCATTAGATGGTTTCTTTGGAACAATCCTTTCCAAAGTCTAGTCCCCACCCATGTACATCAGAATCCCCCAGCAGCTTGCTAAAAATTTATATTTTTAAGTTCTATTCTTGATTTGCCAAGTCACAAATGCTGGGGGTTGACTTGAGGGATTTGCTTTGCTAAAAAGCACACTAAAATTTGAAAATCTTTGCCTTAGATCAAAGTGTGAAAAAGATTGAAGGAAATCCCATCTGACATTAAGTACTTAAGAAGGGAGGAGGAGGTTGCATCTTAGGTGAAAAAAGGGAGGCAGACAAGTTCCTTAGGTCCTTATCTCAGTTCTGACTGCTATAGCTTTTAAGCTGGACCAAAGTGTGCTCTAAAAACACATGCTATATAATGCTGGTGAGTGTCTGTATTACAGCCTCAAAAGTGAGCCTGCTTCTAAGCTAGTGCATTCTGCCAGGCACTAAGGATGCCAAAGATGAAGTTTGCAGCTTCCTAGAAGAGCCATGCAGGTAAACTAGCAGTTTAAATATCATGTGGTTCACAATGAGATGCAATTTTACACCCACTAGTATGGCTATATTAAAAGAAAAAAAAAAAGGTAGTGACAAGTGTTGGCAAGGATGTAGAGAAACTAGAGCCCTTATATATTGCTTGCTAGGCAAATCACTGGAATGTAAAATGATGTACCTCTTTGGAAAACATTTTGGCAGTTCCACAAAAAGTGAAACATAGAGTTACTGTGTCTCCCAGCAATTCTACTCATAGGCATATGCCCAAAAGAATGGAAAATATATGTTCATACAAAAATTTGTATACAAATGTTCACAGAAACATTGTTTATAATAGCTAAAAAGTGAAAACAACCCAAATGTCCATCAACTGAAGAGTGGATAAACAGGATGTGGTATGTGCATGCAATGAAATATTATTTAGTAATAAAAAGGAATTAAGTACTGATACATGCTACAACATGAATGAACCTTAAAAACATTATGCTAAGGAAATAAGCCAGATACAGAAGGACACATTGTTCCATTTATTTGAAATATAGGCAAAGCTGTAAAGACAGAAATTAGGTTAGTGGTTGCCAGGGATTGGGGGAAGGAAGGAATGAGGAGTGACTGCCAATGAATACAGGTTTCTTTTTGGGGTGAGAAAAATATTAGAATTAAAGAGTGATGATGGTTGCACAACTTGGTGAATATATTAAAAACTACTGAATTGTGTACTTTAAAAGAATGAATTATGTGATGTATGAATTATATTTCAATTTAAGTGATAAAAGAAATGGCCAAGAAAAAATAATACAGTTGACTACATTTTAAGGATGCTATGTGTGGTAGAGATACCATATAGAGGTAATCAAAGGCCACACAGCACACCCACAAAAGGAAGGGACACCACTTATTTGGTAGGGTAGGAAAATGTTAGGGAAGACTTCCTAAAGGAAGACTTTAAGAATGAGGAAGATATCCAAGGCCAGTCAACACTGGGGACATAACCTTTTTGAGAAACAGTAATTGGACATGACAAGACAGTGGAGAAACTAGAGACGAAGAAACAAAGAAACTAGAGACGAAGGCACGGAAGACATCAAGAAGAGGCTTGAGGGATTCAAATCCGTGGAGAAAGGGTGAACTTTTAAGTAAGCGATGTTGGAATAACTGGAGAACCGTATGAAACAAAGATAAAATTGCAATCACTCCTGATACCACATGCAAGTATTGATTGCAAAGGGATTAGAGGTTTAAATAATTTTTTAGGATGAAACCATAGAATACTAAAAGAAAGTATGAGCAAATTCTTCAGTAACCGGGAATGGTGAAAACTTCCTTGACTGTGACTAAAAATTCAGGAAAAAGATTGGGAAATTTCACAACTTGAATCTAATGATGCCTCTAGATCTACCTACCAGTTTGCAGGCAATACAGGAGATCAATGAAACCTGTTCAATGACACTGCGGGGTGCAATCCACAAAATCTGGAACGTGGGTTCTTCTACAGATTTGTAATGCTGTTTTGTGAGCTGCTTTCTTTAACAAATAAGTGTCCCAAAAAAGGAGAGAGGGGTACCCTTTACATTAAAAGAGACTCAAAAGACATATGAACCAACTACAGTGTATGGGTCTTGTTTGTGCCCAATTCTTTTTAACTGGAAAAAAATTTTGAAACAATTGAAAAAATTCAAACACTATGTGGATGTTAGTAATTGTTAGGATTATTAATTTTATCAAGTGGGATAATGGTGTTGTATTTAAGTTCAAAAGAGAAGGCTTCGTGTCTTAGAGATATAGACTGAACTGTGGTGCGGATAAATGATACGGTCTTTGGTGTGCACCTCTTTTTTTTTTTTTTTTTTTTTTTTTTGAGAGGGAGTTTCACTCTTTGTTGCCCAGGCTGGAATGCAATGGCACAATCTTGGCTCACTGCAACCTCTGCCTCCTGGGTTCAAGCTATTCTCCTGCCTCAGCCTCCCGAGTAGCTGGGATTACAGGCATGTGCCACCACGTCCTGCTAATTTTGTATTTTTAGTAGAGACTGGGTTTCTCCATGTTGGTCAGGCTGGTCTCAAACTCCCAACCTCAGGTGATCCCCCCGCCTCAGCCTGCCAAAGTGCTGGGATTACAGACATGAGCCATCGCGGCCGGCGTGGTGTGTACTTTCAAATAATCCAGTGGTGGGGGTGTATGGGAAATAGGAGGTATAAATGAAATAAAATACATTTGTTAGTAATTATTAAAACTGGATAATAAGTACATGAGCACTCATTATAGTATTCTTGTTACGTTGGGGTAAATCCAAAAATTCTTCAGAGCCACGGAAGGCCTTTTCATCAGGGGAATGAGGAATGACAGATGAAACTGCCCTTCTAGCAAGTGCAGCCCTGGAGTCGGAAGATTAGACAGGGGGCTGCCAAGGAGGGTCACTGTGATGCAGGACTGAGCTATGAGAGTGTCACTGGGGGTGGAGGGGAGGATCTGGGTGTGAACAGTATTAAGGACATAGAAGCAAAGGAAACAAAGAAGCGGGAATCAAGGATGAATCTCCTGTTTCAGGCTTAGATGAATGGCTGCATGGTGGGGCCATTCAGCAATCAAGGGAATTCAGAAGAAATTAAAGTTAAGAGTGAAGGGAGTGATCATTCCATTTCAGATGCTTTGAGTGTGAGGTGCCTGTGGAAGATTCAGAGCTTAAGAAAGAGGTCTCACTAGAGATATGGTGGCAATTTTCAGCTGCAGCATAATTTCCATGGAAACATGTAGAGTGTAGGCACAAGAAAACTCTCCCTTCAGAGCAAGCACTTCCTATCAAATTAGTAAGTTACTCTTGGGCTATTTTAACATTTAACAAGCAAGGCAGTGGCTTAAGGAGAATGATATGAGAACCAAATGGCAGTATATGACATCTATGCTATTCTGTTTCCTCCTAATTTCCATTTTGAATGTGTGATAGATCATTAGGGCTTAATTGCAGGGTTTTCTTGTTTCATTTTCTTTCTTCTAATAAAGAAGTTTTCAAGAGAATACTAAGGCATCAGAAAAACAAAATCTCATGTGGAAGATTAAATCTTGTTGTTGTTGTTTTCACCCTATCTCTCTTCTATTTTGTTCTCTTCCATGTTGCCTATGGTATTACAAAAATTGAAAGAAGACCAGGTGTGGTGGCTCACACCTGTAATCCCAGCACTTTGGGAGGCTGAGGCAGGTAGATCATGAGGTCAGGAGTTCGAGACCAGCCTGGCCAACATGGTGAAACCCCGTATATACTAAAAATACAAAAATTAGCCGGGTATGGCGGTGCACACCTGTAATCCCAGCTACTTGGGAAGCTGAGGCACGAGGATTCCTTGAACCCGGGAGGTTGCAGTGAGCCAAGATCATGCCACTGCACTCCAACCTAGGCGACAGAGGGAGACTCTGTTTCAAGAAAGAAAAAAACAAAAAAAAAGAAAGAAAACACTAACACCATCTAGATCCAAAGTCATGTTCACTTTCCTGTCTTTAAAATAACCATAATAGGGTTAAATTCTTGGATTGATATGCATGTATTCAGAAAGACCTATGGAGTTACTGATATAAAAAAGCATTTTGTGTCAAGGATTGATTTATACCTTAGAGCAAGGGGAAGAGAAGAATACTCAGTCCTGTGATATCTGTTGCTGGGGAAGCGTCATGATTTATTGTTGGTGGGAGCATCAGGCCATCTGTTAGGCTTTAATAAAGTGTGGTCATAACATTTTGATTTGAAACACAGAATGATTTACCAACCCAAAATTAAAGTTTTTCAGCAATTGAAGGTCTCATAGGATTTGTTTTTGAAGGAGGGTGGCTTTGTGTGTGTTGTTGTATTTTTAGATATTTGTATCTTTAGTATTTATATTCAAATAAGAAGAAAAACACATCAGTACCTTTCTTTTTCTGTTCTGGGTTCATTCTCAAAATCTTGTGTCGCCTGCTCCGTGCAAACTCCTCAGCTTGCTGTTTGAAGGCTTTATAATTTGGTCTCATCTAAAATTAATGGAATCAAAATTTTAGCAGGTTGGATTTAGGTATCATTTAAAAAAATTCTTCCCATCCAATTTCAATGTGCAATCAAGGTTGAGACCCACTCTGGTTAAAATACGAATGAAGAGAAACAACTGAGGCATTTGGATTACCTATCATGAGAAGCAAATATCAGAAATTAAAGTGTTTCCGAACTTCACAGGGCAACTATGGTGTGTGTGTGTGCGTGTGTGTGTGTGCGTGTGTGCGTGTGCACGTTTTGCATTACCTCTTTCTCCCCTGCCATGCAGGTGACCGCCGTGAGGGTGTATGTGAACAGTTCCTCTGAGAATCTCAACTACCCGGTCCTTGTGGTGGTTCGTCAGCAGAAAGAGGTGCTGTCCTGGCAGGTTCCTCTGCTCTTCCAAGGACTGTAAGTGGGTTTTCTTCCAGGCAACTTCACTACATTTGGTTTTCTTCAATGTCCTAGAACTTAATTGATCTTTGCCCTAATGAAAGGAAAAATCAGACATTTGGAATCTCGAGACATTCTGCCTACAAAGTGCAAATAATGATCATGGTGCACTCTCTGACCTGTTCGCTCTGTTCAATTTTTAGATGAGCACTCTACCTAGATTGGCAACACCTAGAAGTTTTTACCGTTTTAAAAACATACTATGATACTCTGTAGCTTTTGGGTACTGGGTCAACCAATAGCCCTGCAATGGGCTATGTCCAGCAGTTAACATAAATGAGTAACTCTTCCCCTGTTCTTCAAAATGCCCATCGTGTGTCTGCATTCTTCATTCAATAGTATTTATTGAACACTATTAAGTGGTGGGTGCTGGAGATGCAGCAGTGAAAAAACAACAACGTGCCTGCCCTCCTCGAGTTTCTATTTTTGCAGGGGAGAAGTGTATAAGATACTACTGCATTAATAAAAAAACTTGCAAGGCATGCAAAATGCATGCATAACATTATTTTTAAAGGTTGAAGAACTCAAGGACTGAAATACTGACTCTGATAGCTTTGACCTGGACTCCAGGGCTTTCCTTACCCTCTATTTTAGCAATAGTTTGAAGAGTAGAAAATGGGAATCAGCTGGTTGTTCTATCAGGACAGTTTCCCCCTCAAATTGGATATTTATTCCTCATTGAATTAGGAGAATGGCTTAGCATAATGTAGATGCCGCTTAAGTGAACTAGTCAGCACAGAACAGTCCTCACATCCCTGCTATTATATCATACAACCCAATGCCAACAACACTAGTTCTAAAATTACTGTTGATAGTTCCAGTCTAAAATTCAAAACATAAGGACTTGAAAACAAATTTGGAGAGAAGCAAAATGAGATAGGCTCCTTTCCCCACTCATTCATTGAGTCTCTTTCTTGTTCTTGTTTATTTTTTTCCCCTATATTGGTTGCTTCAGATACCAGAGGAGCTACAACTACCAAGAAGTGAGCCGCACCTTATGCCCCTCAGAAGCAACCAACGAGACGGGCCCCTTGGAGCAATTGATATTTGTAGATGTAGCATCCATGGCACCCCTGGGTGCCCAGTACAAACTGCTAGTTACCAAGCTCAAGCACTTCCAGCTCCGGTAAGCGGGACTTTCTCTGTTTATGTGTCTGTGCTTCCTGTGCTTGTGGATGCTCAATTTATCTTCCATCCTTACAGACTGGGACTGTCGAAGGAAATTACCCACTTAGCGTATGGTTTTAGCACCTGCCGAACTCTCCTTCCCATAACTGAGCAGCAGGGCCTTCATCTATACAAAAGAGTGGGAGTGCAGAAGGTGAGAGTGGCTGACCTCATAGGTGAATCTGTTTTCAGGGATCAGTGTGAGGGTCCTGTCCAACCTGAAGCCCAGGCAAGAATGACTGGTGACTAAATACTTTTGTATTCCCAACCGGTGCCACACTCCTGAAGGAAGTTTTGTTTTAGTTCTAGGGAAGACATTAAGCTACTTTTCTTGTCCTTATTATTACTCCTGCTTTCTCCTTCCAGGTTAGTAACATAGGTAGGAATGCCGCTTTGTCCTTTCTTGGTGTGACTAGTATTGTTTTCCTCCTGTTTTTTAAAAAACTAAAATAAACAGGCAAGCTCATTGAAAAAATAAGCATGAGACTTGCACACTTCACTAAAGAAGCTACCCAAATAGTTAAAAAAAAAAAAAAAAACACAACCTCATTAGCTATAAGAAATGTAAATTAAAACCATAATGGGATTCCATTACAACTACCAAATTGCTATAATTTGAAAGGCCTACATTCCACTGCTTTGATCTATACCCAACTCCTAGATATCTAATTGTAGTATTCATTCAGTGGGATACTACCAAAAATAAAAATGAACAAACTATTGCTATACCCAACAACATGGATGCATCTCACAATGTTGAGAAATAGAAGACAGGCCGGGCACGGTGGCTCACGCCTGTAATCCCAGCACCTTGGGAGGCTAAGGCAGGTGGATCACCTGAGGTCAGGAGAGCCAGACCAGCCCGACCAACATGGTGAAACCCCGTCTGTACTAAAAATACAAAAAAAAAATTAGCTGGGCAGGGTGGCGGGCGCCTGTAGTCCCAGCTAATCCGGAGGCTGAGGCAGGAGAATGCTTGAGCCCAGGACGGGGAGGTTGCAGTGAGCCAAGATCATGCCATGCACTCCAGCTTGGGTGACAGAGTGAGACTCCGTCTCAAAAAAAAAAAAAAAAAAAACCTGCATGTTGTGCACATGTACCCTAGAACTTAAAGTATGGAAAAAAAAAAAAAAAAAAAAAACAGAGGCCAGACAAAAGGAATGTATGCTATTTTATTCCATTTATATAAAATTTACAGGCAGGCAAAACTATTCTGTGACGTTAGAAGTCAGAATAGTGGTGCCTTCGGGGAGGATAGAAGTGCACGGCTATGTTTGATGATAATTTATTCAAATATATACTTATAACTGCACACTTTTCTATAATACATGTTTGTTATATTTCAATTAAAAAGTTAATTTTTTAAAAAATCAGAATATTTCAAAATCGCACATGTCACTGTTTTCCAGCTTATTTTTCTGATCAGAATGTTTGGCTCTACAGTAAAGTTCTCCTTAAATTTAAGGCAGTTTATAAAGACATCTGTAGCCAGTAGAGTTGCTAATGGGACTCAAATATTTATCTTGGTCTTCTCTACACTCTTTGACATAGTGTTACACCCATACAGAAACATGGACAGATAAATGAATGAATGGTCAGAAGGATGGAGAAGTAGTCACAGTATTTTTTCTCAAGTCCCTCCATTAATTCTGGTGTTGGAAAAGGTGACATGATAATTTTAAGAGCAAAGAACACTCATCCTCCACAAAAACAAGGAGAAAAAGATTCTCTGGTGAATAAGATCCACCCAGAGCGATTAAATCAGAGGCCCTAGGGGAGAGGTTTGGGCACTGGTAAATTGTTTGAAGTTCCCCAGGTGTTTCTAATGTGCAGTCAGAGTTGAGAACCACTACCCTAAAGCAATTTCTAAATATGGTGCTTCAGTTTAATTTAATATATATATTTTGAATCCGAGTCTTTCTCTGTCACCAGGCTGGAGTGCAATGGCACGATCTCAGCTCACTGCAACCTCCATCTCCTGGGTTCAAGCGATTCTTGTGCCTCAGCCTCCCAAGTAGCTGGGATTACAGGTGTGTGCCACACTCCTGGCTAATTTTTGTATTTTTAGTAGAGACGGGATTTGACCATGTTGCCCAGGCTGGTCTCGAACCCCTGGGACTCAAGCGATCCACCCGCCTCAGCCTCCCAAAATGCTGGTATTACAGGCATGAGAACCGTGCTTAGCCTAATTTAATAATTTAAAAATCTACTTGTGATATTTAACCATATGGGAATACACATTTGATGGGAGTGATAACATGTTACAGTACTTACATAGAGGGCAGTTTGAACTGCAGAGAAGCCTTGCTTTTATCAACTGATCTCTGTCTTTAATCAATCAATCAAGTGTCACCTGGTAGCAGTGGCAGTGTCACTTGGTGGTAGCATATTTGAATTGTAGGAATGGTCTTCTGTAAGCTTAATTAGAACCTTTTGAGAACTGAATGCTGTGAAAATAAAGTCATAAGGTCACAACTGTAGCGAGTGTTAATGAATTATATGCATGCTGATGAAATTGCAAATCTATTCCCTCATGTTGTTTTCTGTTTTTACCTCATAATATGACTTTGCCTCAGCAACCAGACTTTAAAAGCATTTCAAAATCACACATTTACACACCAGCCTGGCTGGTGACCTGGAAATCCAAAGGATGATGGTAGTGGGGAAATGCTGAGGATTGTGATGAGAACTGGGCTCAGGAATTGAGAGAAACACTGAAGAAGTAATTCGAAATCTCTAAGATCGAAGTTTCTATTGTACGGTTTTGCATGGCAGACTATAATGTACATAGAACACATTTTGGGAATTTTTCCCCCTAGAATCATACATTTTAAGAACTGAAGGACCTTTGGGAATCTAATCCACCCGCCTCATTTTAACAGATGAGCAAACTGCTGCCCAGAGAAGTTAAGTGACTTGTTCAAATTCACACAGCTAGGAAAGGGCAAAATCAAGGCTAAATTGTACTTCTGACTCCCGGTCCTGCACTCTTCTCACTATGACAAGCTATTTCTACTTTCTATTTAAAACTCTCCTCCCAGTGGTTTGTGTTTCTCTAAATATGTTTCTCAATTCCTTGAAACATTTACTTAAATCCAACTTTACTAGCAGAGCACAGTGGCTCCCGCCTGTAATCCCAGCTACTCAGGAGGCTGAGGCAGGAGGATGACTTAAGTCCAGGAGTTAAGACTAGCCTAGGCAACATAGTCTCTAAAAAAACAAAAACCAAAAAAATGCCAGACATGATGGTGTGTGCTTGTAGATCCAGTTACTCAGGAAGTTGAGGCAAGAAAACTGATTGAGCCCAGGAGTTTGAGGCTGTTTTTAGCCACGATTGTGCCACTGCACTCTAGGCTGAGCAATAAAACGAGACCCCATCTCTACAAAATTCCTTTAAAATTAAAACAACTCTGCTTTAAAGCATTACTCCCTGCCATCTTCCTATTCTCTGCACACACACACACAACTGCGCCACTACTCTTTTTCTACACCCCAGTGCCTAGGCGTTTAGTGTTGCTAGAGTGTGAAATTGCAGGCAGGCAACAGCAGATGGTCACAGAAACAGGCAAGCGTGTGATCATGGGGTAGGAGGATCTTAGGAAGGGGCATTAGGAAATTTAAACAGGCCAGGCGCAGTGGCTCACGTCTGTAATACCAGCACTTTGGGAGATCAAGGCGGGCACATCACCTGAGGTCAGGAGTTCACGACAAACCTGGCCAACATGGTGAAACTCCATCTCTACTAAAAAAAAACAAAAAATAGCCGGGCGTGGTGGCACACGCCTGTAATCCCAGCCACCTGGGGGGCTGAGGCAGAAGAATCGTTTGAACCGGGGAGGCGAAGGTTGCAGTGAGCCGAGATATTACACCACTGCACCCAGCGTGGGCCATAGAGAAAGACTCCGTCTCATAAAAAAAAAAAAAAAAAAATTAAACAGTTGTCTATATTGTGTATGGAGAATGGATTTGAAGAGGACAAAACAGGATGCAGAGAAGTTAGAAGGCTGATGCAGTGGTCAAAATAAATAATGAGGAGGTGAATTGAAATATCAGGGGAGGCGAAATTGCTGAAATTTGATTAAATATGAGGGAAAAAGAAAAGAGAGAGTCATTAATGCCAATGTGGCTTGTAGATGGTGGGGCCACTAAGAGAAAATGAGAATTTTGATAAGAAAAAGAATAGATGATAGCTTCACTTTGGGATAGGTTGAGTGTGAAGTACAGATATCTGGCGAAGTGTTGGATGTATACTAATATGACACTTAGGGGAGAGGGAGAGCTCTGAGTTAGGCAGACTAGTGCAGTCTTGATGAACCCATCAAGAAGCCTGGTCCACATGATGCCTGGGCAAGACAGGGTTACAGGAGATAGGGCTGGAGAAACAGGCAGTGCCCAACTTTGATCTTTAAGATGTTGGATGCTAGACTATGGAGTGAAACTTCATCTTTCAGATTGTGGGAGCCATTAAAGGATTGTGAGCAACAGGATAGCATTCAGAGATCTGATTTCTAGAGATGACTTGAGTAGCAGTGTGGAAGAGGAATTACAGAGAGGAAAGATGAGGGACAAATAGGCAAATGAAAAGTTATTTGAATGGGGAAGAATAAAAAATGATTAGAACTTGAATGTGTATGGCAGCAACAAGGTTGTAAGGGAGAAAACAAGTCAAATAGTACACATGGAGATAATTCATAATTCAGCGAATATATGTGGCAGAATCAAATTCATAGTCCTCTATGAATACTTGCAGCCTTCAGCCCTCCCCTAGCCTTCTAAGTAGGGATCTTGAGTCTGTTTTAAGAGGAGAGAGTGTGTGAGTGAGATAGCTCAGCTACCATGCTGTGAAAAGTAATAGATTTTTTGAAGAAATGGGTGGATAAGAGAATTTTAGACAATTTTGCTATGTGTCATACCATATAATCACCTTCTGGTATTTTGGAGGAGACTACAATAAAAATTTACATTCCTTTTTTTTTTTCTCTCTCTCTCTCTCAATGATGCTGTACTGGGCAAACATGGTGCTTCAGGTGGAGGCAGGTTACTTTTACACTAATAGAATGAGTAGGACCTGGTGATCAATCAAATGTGGAAAGTGATAGAAAGGGGGTAGTCCAAGATGACTCCTAGGGTGATGTCAGAAGTCTGGTGAGGTTTACTGACAAAGGGACATAGTAGGTCAGGATCAGGGAAGTGACAGCACATTCCCTCTTATCATGTTGAATTTGAGGTACTCAAGGGATGGTCAAGTGCAGAAGCCCAGCAGGGGATCACTATTCTGTGACTGGAGCTCAGGAGATGGCCCTGGGCTGGACATAGGGACTTGAGATTCACTGGCATTATTGTGGCATTTACAGCAGCTGGATACACATTTTAAAATGAGTTGATCAAGAACAAGGCTGTGGGTAACATTCTCATTTAAGGGATGGTCTGAGAAACTAAAGCTGTCATAAGGGGCTGAGTAGACACAGCCAGAAGTGTGGGAGAAATCACAGGGGGTTAAGTCGCTGGATTTAATACTTAGATAGTGCTATAGTCTCAATGTTTGTGTTCCCCAAAATTCATATCGAAGTCTCCACAGTGATGGTACTAGGAGTTGGGGCCTGTGGGAGGTGATTAGGTTGTGAGAGTGGAGCCCTTGTGAATGGGATTAATACCTTTATGAAAGAGTCCCCCAAAAGGCCCTTTGTCCTTTATACCACATGAGGATGCAGTGAGAAGGCACCATCTATGAGGAAGCAGGCTTTCATCAGACACTTTGCTGTTGAACATCCTAGCCTGTAAAACTGTAACAAATAATAGATTTCCGTTCTTTACAAGTCACTGAATTGACGGTATTTTTGTTGTAGCTGCCTGAATAGACTAGGGCAGGAGCTGACTGTTACCCTTAGCAAAGGCAATTTCAATGGAGTGGTGGAGAAAGAATCCTGATAGCAGTGGGTGGAGGAAAGAATGAAAGAGAGATAAACATGGAATACTCCTAAAAGTAGCTGGTTTGTGAAGAGAGGAAGGATACAGCATGACATTAAAGGATGGAGATCCAGGGAAAAGGGAGGCATTTGGGTGGGGTGTTTGTTATTTATTTTGAAAATGGTTGAGACTAGAATATATTTATAAACAAAGAGGTAGAAGGGCAGATTAAATTCATAGGAGAGTTGGATATTTGTAGAAGCAAAGTCCCAGAGTATGATAGAAAGAATGGGAATTTGGTACATGAGTGCGGAGTTTATACTTAGACCAGAGGAATGAAGGGCAGACAGTTCCCAATGACAAGAAGGTGGGTGGGAAAGCTACAGTCCTGAAGGGAGTTCATGGCAGATGGCAGAAGCAGGTAACAGGGAATGACATTCTGAAGTTCATAGTTCAGGTGAATAATAGCATATCATTTCCTTCAACAAACAAAGGAGGGGTTTTGAACGTCCACTGTGCTCTGTGCTAGGGGCTTGTTAATCGAGATGTGTAAGATGCTGTGACTCTCACAGTCCTCTCTGGTACTCACCTCAAAAACAAACTACTGAAAGTTTGTCCTGCCTCTCTTTCTACATAGTCTTTCGTCCCATCTCTTTTCTTTTTCTTCTACTTGGTTACTCTCCTGTCTATATTTCTTCCCCCTCTCTCTACCCCGCCCATGGGCCCCTCTCTGCCTCTTCTCCTGACTCCCCTATCTGCACCTCTGTCTCTCAAGTCCATGGGTTTTTGCCCTTCTCCCCTTTCTTGAAATAGCCAACACAAGGAAACAAAATTGTTTTTTAGCCTCTTATGTTTAACAAATAAACATAACATAAACAGGTTAAAATGTGTTTCATCTTTAAAACAAATCAGTTGAAATTGTTATACTTCTTTCTCTAAAACTAACAATCTATGAGCTTCAGTTAGCTTTGTTCTGTTGTCAATGACCTGTAATAAAATAAACCTTCCCCACCTCTGTTAGGGTTCATGTGGAAGGAAGCAGAATATTTCACCTGCAACAGATACAATGTTTATTTTGCATATACTGCCGACTTCATGAGAAAGTACGGACATAAATGATAGTCTTAAACACAGTAACATGTTTTACAAGCTTGCATGCATTGTACTAGCAAATAAAACATAAAGAACAAGAAACAAAACAGAAAGTGAATATCGAATCTTCATCCATTTCATATTATGACTGAAACTCAAGTGATGGGGAAAATTAAAATGGCCAAAAAATATGGGTTGCTTCTGCAAATTTCATGCTGTCACGAAGAACCGGTGGACTTGAAAGATGAGGGTGCAGATAAGAGAGTCAGGAGAAGTCATGTTGCCAGCCAAGAAAATCGTGTCCTCTTTGTTCTCTGATCTGGCAACAAAGAGAGTTGAAGGACTCATGTTGCCCTGGTAACAGCGCGAGACACTCCCAGACTGCTGAAAGGCTCTACCCAGCCCACACACAGTATCACAGGTCCCAACTCTGGCCAAGGACTCTCTGGCCAAAGATTCTCTGGAGCAGAAACATAACTGGGTTTGACACTCACTTTGGCTTCTTTAGGTGACTTACGGACAGAAGTTTTCAGTTCTGCTTCAGAAGAAACAATCCTCAACATTGATTATGATTTCTGTTACAAGTAGATACATAAAAATTACATCTACTGTTGTGAGCTAAATTCCGAGCCCGGCCTGATGACAGCCTAAGTTGTGGTCATTACCTTTATAAATAGTGCTCAAATTTTATGACTTCTAAATAACACCTCTAATTATACACCTCTTGCTTAAATGTTTTGAAATGCCCTTTCTAAAGAAATCATTAATTTTAAAACAGGTATTTAATTTTTATGAAAGGAAAATTAAGAGTGGAGAGAAAAAAATCTTCAGAGAGCCCCAGGGGATGAAGCTAATGAGAAATCCCAGAAGTTCAAGTTCAGATGCCCAGAAATGCAGGGCACATTGGAGGGGCAGGAGCATGCACCCCCAGGTGTGGGGTTTCAGCAGCCTGGGGGTCTGAGACTGCCGTGGACTTGTGTGCATGATCTTCATGGCTAACGATGAGGCAAGAGCCAGAAAGGCAAAAGCCCAAAGTAGTCCTTATAAAACTATAGAGAAGACCACATTTGTCTTTGTGACAAACACTTGAACTGTTTCATAGATGCTCATGGCAGACAGCCCTCTATGCTACCAATTTATGCTTCCTATCTCTTCACATTCTCCTTTCTTCAGTGCCTAGATCATTGCTGTCTTACATGGAAGAATGAAAGTATCTAATAATGTAATTCACAGTAAATTACTAATTGAAGAGAAAAAAGCCTCATTATATTCTTTTGGTGGTATTTATATTTTAAAGGAGGGTCTTAGAAGGCAATGCCTAACCCAAAGGGAACTAAATCTTGGGGAATTTCAGCCAGTGTGGCAGCAATTAGGGAGCTATTTGGGGATAGTAAGGGCATGTTTCCATCCCTAGCCACCATCCCATGTGGTTATCTATTCACCGTGTTTGGTAAAAAGTGATCCATTTTGCCATGGGTCCATCAAAATTATTTCGAAATAGTATCTACAGTATCCAAAAGGACCTTGAACCTGGGTTTCCTCTCTCCTTCAGCCCACTTCTGTTACCTAAACCCTGTGCTTGATTGTAAAATCAAGCACAAGAGAGTCCCATGGCAAAAGTGGCTACAAAAGTAAACAACTACCTTATATAGATATGGCTTCATGGATATTTAAAGACATAAAAATAATAATCCCCTTCCCCAGTCTGGTCATTCTTGAGCGTTGAAACCACCAAGTCCCCATGCAGTCTGCTTCGTCAGTTTCATGGGACGAGAACTCCCCTCACCAAGGGTGAAGCTCTCCTCGAGTCTACTTTAAGATGGCTTTCTTTTAAATAAATAATTTTTGCTCACTAACTTATGCTTTTCTCTCACTTTTCCCCTTTCCCTTCTGCCACTTACGTTTCTCAGGACAAATGTTGCCTTTCACTTTACTGCCAGCCCCTCCCAACCTCAGGTAAGTGAATGGGTTCCAAGAGTTATCAACATCCTACCCGTTGGTGTTGCCTTCCTGTTAGTGAAACCATGTTACCACGGTAGAGTTAGCGTGTGGGGTTGCCCTTGACCTTTCACAACTTGAAGTATATTCGTATTCCACTTTATTCCTTGTGTTACAGGAATTTTGGACACAATATGTAATCATATCACCTTAATAGGTATAAAATAGGCAGCATGCTATTTGTTTTCAGGTGTTCCTTGGTTCAACCTTCATTGAGCAAATCGTGTGCCCTCTATGCACCAAGAACTTCGTTAGACCGCACCTGGTGCTGGAGACACAAAGATGAAGAACAGAGAGACACAACTTCTGCCATCATGAACCCAATAGCTGGGAAGTGGTAGTGGGGATAGGGAGTAAAAGGCTGACACCAAACAGATACAGAAACAATTAATTAACCTGGAAATACAATGAAAATAAGACAGATTTTAATGTTTACAATGTTATAAGTGTAATAAATTAGTTTCTCCTCTCATAAAGAGCCAGAATGTTGACAAAAAATATTAGGAGAATTAGATATTTTTGTTGTGCTCTGCATTAAACCATAACCACAAATAGAATAAATACATGAAAAACTTGGATTAAGTCAGGCTGTTTTTCTCGTGTCATTTCTAGTTACCTTCCTTTTTTCTTTCATAAGCTTCTGAAGACAAAACTCTATATAATAGCATGTTTGAAACAAGTTTATTTGTTGTATGTTTTCTTTAGTCTGTAATATAGCTTTGGTCATAAATAGCTACTTAGGCTTTGCTTTGGAGTAGTAAAACTGGGATTAACATGGACTTGTCGTAAATAAACTACAATCACTGTTGTGCTGGTAAATAGTTCACAACTGGTTTTCAGAGAGAAAGCCCTGATTTGTAGTGTTTGCCCATTTCTGTGGTGTAAATACCTCCACTATGACTGATTTTAAGCTCCCATTGTGATATCACTGGGAAGTGACTAATGCACAATCAGCTCTCCCAAGCCTGAATGAACCAACTCCCACACATCTTTTAAACTTCCTGTCTGTGAAAGTCTCCGCAATGCATATATACTGCCACCCAGTGGCAGGAGAGGGCCAAAGGCCCTTAATATACCACCCTCAACATTTATTGACTATTTAATTTCAAGAAATATTTTACAAGCACTAATTAGTAGGAGTAAAGAGAGAAACCTAAAAAAAGGGGGGGGGGGAATAACTTTCATTCTAGCTACAGGAATAGTATAGTCTAACAGTCCTGTACAGAGCTATAATAAATATGATATACTGACCAGGTGTGGTGGCTTGCACCTGTAATCCCAACACTTTGGGAGGCTGAGGCAGGAGTATCACTTGAGGCCAGAAGTTCAAGACCAGCCTGGGCAACAGAGCAAGACCCTGTCTTTACAAAAACTTTAAAAATAAAAAATTAGCCGGGCATGGAATCTTGCACGTATAGCTTTGACTATGCAGGAGGCTGAGACAGAAAGATCATTTGAGCCCAGGAGGTCAAGACTACAGTGATACATGATTGTGCCACTGCAACCTAGCCTGGGTGACAGCGTGAGACCCTATCTCTGAAAAAAAAATTTAAATAATTTGCATCTAAACCCCAAACTGGACTAAAATATACTTAGAACAAACTAATAAAACAGGCCAGGCGCAGTGGCTCATGCCTGTAATCCTAGCTCTTTGGGAGGCCGAGGCGGGCGGATCACGAGGTCAGGAGATCAAGACCATCCTGGCTAACACAATGAAGCCCTGTCTCTACTAAAAATACAAAAAATTAGCAAGGCATCGCAGCGGGCACCTGTAGTCCCAGCTACTCGGGAGGCTGAGGCAGGAGAATGGCGTGAACCCGGGAGGTGGAGTTTGCAGTGAGCCGAGATTGCTCCAGCCTGAACAACAGAGCAAGTCTCAGTCTCAAAAAAAAAAAAAAAAACCTAATAAAACAAAACAAATTCCTTGATATCGATGAAAGTCTTACTTTACTCTTAACTAGTCTCATTTTCACCTATATTTTGTATCCTCTTTGACTACAGGAAATATTTTCTTTTTCTCTAAGCTCACCCAAATGATTGCTCATTCTCAGATAACTTGTGTCAATCACTGTCTGCCTCTATTCCAGGAGTTAGAAGCAAGTTGCAGAAACTGGGGAGGTAGCCAGAACCCAGATAGTGATTTTTCAGCCTAAATTCCAGCCATTGCTTTGGGTATTTGTCATTCGCTTCTTTCTGGTAAAGGTGGATTGTCAGGCAGGGGTCAAAAACATTTATTTGGAGTTTAAGGTAATTTACAGATAAAGTTGTTAATACTTTCAGTGGGTGTTTACTGCTTGCACAAAACCAATTGCTATCATATGCGGGAACATATATGAGGCTCATTATTGCCAACAGTAATCATAGTAATGCTCTTGAGTTACAAAGTATGGATCTCCTGGGAAACAAGAACACTCTTGGGAATTCCAGACTCCTCATCTGTTGAAGAGCCCTGTATTATATGTATTTGAGTCAAGTTCCAAAATTAAGTGGGTTCTTGGGGGTATTGCCATCTGTTATAAGGTGTGGATAGACTTCCAACTGCATCATTAATGACACTCCTTAATTCTGAGATAATTTTTCCCCATCAGAAAGCTTTGGATTCTTGAAAAGGATTCCATTTTTATTGTCCTGGTACTCAAAATAGGAGTAGGAAAAAGATGTTGAAATACAAAGCTAAGTTTTAACTTGTTTTGCCTCTCTGTACATGATAGATTTATTAGAGTCTTATTTGGGAGCCTGTTTTGGTTGCTTTTCTCAAAATCTTCATCACAGGCTTAATATAGCTTCTCAACCAGTTATCATAGTTTATAATTATTTGGCAGAATTCCCCTTTCTTCATCATTAAGAACAAGTTTACAACTTAGAGTTATATTTTTCCAGTGGACTCGTAATCTACATGGGTAAATAGTACAACTTCTTTCAATTAAAAATGTTTCCTAAATCTGGTGTTATTTGAAAAATACTTTTAAAAGACACCTCAACCTGCCCAAAATTGTGAACATATTTCTGGGGACTCTACATGGGACTTGATCTTTGAATCTCTGTATGTTCTCAGTAGATCCCAGCCAGCAACAAGTTTCCTGATCAAAAGGGCAAAGAGGAGGATGAGTCTAGTGCAAATTCTTGCCTATGGGAAGGTGGTTAAAATTGTTGAAAAACAGGCTTATCTGCTTTTCAGTATGGAGTTTTCACATGTCACACTGACCACACAGAAGTGAATCTTATCACATGTTATGTCTCACTTATCCTTAATTCGAAGGGGGCAGGATGCTTCTTAAACAGGAAACAAAATTAATGACTATTTATTTTACCCTAGAAAAAGAAATAGCAACATTGCATAAAATGGCTGTTTTGTCTTGTTTACTGCTATATTCTTAATGCCTGGCACACAGCCCTGCACAGATTTAGTTGCTCAATATGTATGAGATGAAGAGCTAACTGAACTCATTAATGGAGATTCACTGAGATTTACATATAAATTTTGTGCCTAATAGAGGAAACAATCCCATTCATGTAAATATAAATCATGTCTTTCTTTTTCTTATTCTCAGTATTTTCTATACAAGTTTCCCAAAGACGTGGACTCAGTTGTCATTAAAGTGGTGTCTGAAATGGCTTATCCATGTTCTGTTGTCTCAGTCCAGAATATCATGGTGAGTGCTGGTAACTTCCCAACCTTCTACTATAGAGCATTATATTATTCCAAAACAAATGAAAGAGAAGGATGCGAAGCATGCCATCCTCTTACTGGGTATCTCCCTTCCAAAACTACTGAACAATACGAACAGTATCTATGAGTATGAGTGGGCAGACTGTGTTTGCAGACACTAATTTTGAGAGGTAAAGAATAGTTAAGTCTTCACCAAAATCAATAAAGCAAAGAAGGAAAGGAGGGAGGAAGCAGGGAAGGACTGTAACAAAGAACCAGGAAGACCAAGTTGTGGGCTCCACAAGAAAACTAAAATTGAACCCTACCATTTGTTCTGTTTTTAAATTTTTATTCTAACATTGGGTTCTTTCTGTCTCCTGAGATGTTAATGAAAATTGAAAAAAGTGTTATACACTTTAAGACAATAGTTTTATAGTTCTCTTCAATATAACGTGACTTTGACTTTAGAGGACGAGGCCCCAAGTCTTAGGAAGACTATGTCATGACTGTTCAAGGGGGGAAACTTTACCTGTTTCTGGTTAATAAGGATACCCTGCTCTGTGATCCAAGCAGAAAGATGCTGACAGGACCTATGTGTGGCAGGACGTTGCACAACATTATGTATGCTTTCCTTTTTATTCCTCATGCATGCTGCAGTGCCCGGTGTATGATCTTGACCACGATGTGGAATTTAATGGCGTCTATCAGTCCATGACCAAGAAAGCTGCCATCACACTACAGGTGAGACATTGTTTCTGTGGGCATTGTTGCCAATGATAATGCTCAATAGATAGTCAGTGTACTGACTGAGCCAGCATCCTAAAGGGATGGCCATCCATGATGTGCCTAGGATCTCCTTCCTTTCTGATTGGTTTAAAAACTAATATGTCTGGCCAGGCTCAGTGGCTCATGCCTGTAATCCCAGCACTTTGGCTGGCCGAGGCAGGAGGATCACCTGAGGTCAGGAGTTCAAGACCAGCTTGGCCAATATGGCAAAACCCAGTCTCTATTAAAAATACAAAAATTAGCTGGGTGTGGTGGTGCACCCCTGTAATCCCAGCTACTCAGGAGGCTGAGGCAGGAGAATCGCTTGAACCCAAGAGGCAGAGGTTGCAGTGAGCCGAGATCACACCACTCCACTCCAGCCTGGGCAACAAGAGCAAAACTCCGTCTCAAAAACCAAACAAACAAACAAACAAAACGACTTATGTCTATGCCTGAAATTTAAAAAAAAAAAAAAAAAAAGTCACCTTCTCACTGGGCTGAACATGACACCAGAAGTTTGGGGATGATTTTTTTTTTTAAAGACAGGGTTGTAGAACTATAACGGACCTTAAAGTTCATCTTGTCAACCGCACTTCATTCATGGATGAGGAAATGGGCACATAGAGAAACACACTTAGAGTAACTCAAAGCCAAGATGATAACTGAGTCCTTTGCCTCCCTAACCTAAATTATTTATTCAACTGCTGAGTGTGTCAATTTTAGAAAAGTTATTTATCATTAGATTCTAAAATAAAAACTTAACATGTAAGCATTAGTTATTAAACATAGGCTATACACATATTATTTGTATGGTGCTTATTAAAGTTCTAAGCACTCAAATAGGCACAAAATTGATTGAAATCAGAAATGTATATCTATCTACCTTAATTTCTTGGATATAACAATTATCTCAGAGTGGATAATCTGGAGTTGATCACAGGTATGTGAAAGTCCTTTCCAAGGAGTTAGAGGGCAGGGGTGAACTTTATTTTTCTTCTCTTTCCTCTTTCTTTCTGCCCCCACCCCCAGGGACTTTCTCCCTTCTAGCTCTTTCTTACCGCCTATCATAAGGTTGTTATGTCTTACGCAGAAGAAGGATTTTCCAGGCGAGCAGTTCTTCGTGGTATTTGTGATAAAGCCTGAAGATTATGCCTGTGGAGGATCTTTCTTCATCCAGGGTAAGAGCTAGTAAGGAACACTTGGCTACTTAGAAAAACCTGAAGGAAGGGAGTGAAAGGGAAGCTGAAACCTCCCTCTAGTTCCCACTAAGCAAGGGTTGGTTCCATCAGTATGACTGGGAAAGGCATCTGAGAGATACTTGAGAAAAAAACAGAAGATAGAAAGTAACAGATCTAAAGGTATTATTGATACTACAAAATGTCATTTAGTGCATTTCATCTTTTTGAAGCATTGTATTCCCTCAGACCATGGAAGATAAGTTCACTCGGTTGGCCCTTTACTCAACAAATATTTGCTACCACGAAGTAATGATCTTACACAGCGATCAAAGTACATTTCCTAAGATGGGGTGGTAGCCGGTAGCCGTGTAGCTACTTACATTTATCAGTAGTCATCATTTCCACAATGATGGACAAGAAAAATTCAGCATTCTCCATCTCAGTTGCCAAAAATTTTACCTTGAAAAATAGTAGGAAAGCCAACTGCAACAACTTATCCCAATAATAAGGGGTATGGGAGCTCTTAGGCATAGTACAGATAGTTATGGTTAACTACCCAGTAGCTACCTTAAGGGCAGAATAAGCTGATGATTGAAAACGTAGACCACTAGCCAGTGATTAACCACATGTGACCAACACAAAGTGTGTTTACTGTTGATTGTAACATCATTTCCTTGGTATGAATGTTTAGGTGAAATTTCTCCTAGTATGTTCTTTAACCTCTTAATTACATGGCTCCAAAATTTTGCCAATGTCAAATATTCCTTGGTAAACTACAAGCCCTTTCATGACTATATAAGAGGGAAAAAATTGTACTGGCTAGAAACATACAAACCAAAGGAAGAGGTAGCTTCTGTTTTCACAGCTGTTTTCTTCACATGTCTGTGGATATCAGGGGAAGGGTCCACCCCTCTTCACTGGAGAAGGGAGGCTGCAATCTTTTTGCATCTGTTAGTGATACCAAAATGCACACAAGCAAAGGCCAAATTGAGAGTCTAATGCTAGCCTCCTTCACCAAAAGGGATTTCAGATGGTTTGAAGGTTTGGGGGTTAGATATTCCTCCAGTTCTTGCTAAAATAAGATTCAGCAATCAGAGTTAATTCTGGACATTTTTTGAACAATCGTTGAGACAAGAGACCCAAAAAATCATTATCTGATTCATTGTGCTTATTGTGCTTTGTTCTTTTTTAATTTTTTTTTAAACCAGAAAAGGAAAACCAGACCTGGAATCTACAGCGAAAGAAGAACCTCGAAGTGACCATTGTTCCTTCCGTTAAAGGTCAGTGTTGGCTCCAGAATGCATCGGAGAGATTCCTGTGTCGGAAAATCAGTCATATCATTTGATATTACTGTCATCCTTCCAGAGAGAATTGTCATAAGAAAAGTAAAGTGTATTTACCTTAGAAATAGAAAAGGGAATCAGAGCATTTTGTTACATCCCTCCTAAAAACAAAGGGACCTCAATCATGAAGTTGTAGACAGGCAGTCCCTTCCCAGTCTACTGGGAAGTCATCACTGTGAAAGGTAGCTACTGTGGGTAATGTCTGGGGACCTCCAGTAGCAGTTTTGCTATGAATAAAAATTTCTTAGGACTTAAGAATCAACATGATGGAGGGCGGCCCTTTAAGCTGTCCTGTCTCAGACAGAGTCTTCTTTTCTGCAGAGGACGACCTGACCAAAGTTGTTTCTCTCCCTTCAGAATCTGTTTATGTGAAATCCAGTCTTTTCAGTGTCTTCATCTTCCTGTCCTTCTACTTGGGATGCCTGCTTGTTGTGTTTGTTCATTATCTGAGGTAGGTCAATCACTTCCAGAAATGTTAATCCCCTGTGCCTGTCTCTGTGTAACGCTTGGAGCGCAGACTTGACAGCCATATTGACTGGCTTCAAATCTCCCTCAGCCACTAGCGGTGTGACCTTGGATACCTCGTGACCTTGGAGATGTTGCTCAACTCCCTGTGCTTCAGTTTCCTCATCCGTAAAATGAGATAATAATTTACCCCACAAAATGTACAACTGCAGTGTTTATATCAATAACACACACATAATAGGTGCTGGTAGAGTGTCAGTTATTTTCCTAGTTAATTAAAACTCAACAAAAAGGCAACATGTATATTTTTTAGACCAGAAAATACTCACTGTAGGTGGTCAGTTTTTCCTAACATGTAGATTTAGAAACAGCTTTAAACATTCTATCAAAAAGTAAATGTAATGCCTAAAATAAATTTTGAGGTGCAACAAAAAGCAGGAGTAATGTTCTTTGATACAACATTACCAAGTGTTTTCCTGCTATTGTAGCATCGATTTTCCAGTAAAATGTCCCTTGGGGGGAAAAAGGAGGTAATTGTGCTGTAATTTGACCAAGGAAATTTCCCTTGCCAAGAGTTTGGAGCCCCTAATGACACAGGGCTTTCCTTCCCTCTCTCAGCGGGGTTGAACCTTGAGAATTCCGTTCTTTGTGGCGCTCTCTGTGAAACAGCTACAAAAGAATGGCAGGAGATTTACAATAAACAAATGTTCTTTCTCTTCTTGAACAAGTAAAGAAAACAAAGCCAGCATGGAGTTTTGAGACTATTTGCAAAATGAACTCCATCCATGGAAAGATTTCATGGCTACCTCAGTGATACAACTACGTATCTTAAGAATATGGGTCTATCTCTGACTCAAAAAAAACTGTCTCGATGACCTGTATGAAACTTTTGAGTTCAGATATTGCCTTCAAACACAGTAGATATGACTGCTGGCCAAATCCGGGACAATTTGAACACCAAAATTATTAAGAATAATGAATTATAGACCATTGGAAAAAATAAAAATGTCTGAGTCCCTGTTGATAAAGGAAGGAAGGGCCTAAACACCTGTGGATACACATTCAGCGATTCAACAAATTTACGAAAACAGCTACCCATTTGGTAAAGGAGCCATTAGCAGATACTGGTAGTAGAAGGGAGAAAGAACTCTTGACTACAGCAAAATGACAAAAGCTGGCTGGTAAATATGGAGGAGTGCCGGAGTTGGAAAATCATCATTTTGCAAATATCATGTTAAAGACTAGATTTGCTTCAGAATCATCGATGAATGTCAAATCTAACATGCAGAAATCTGATGAGGATGAAGATGTGTGCATGGCCTTAAAGTGTATCCTCACAAATTGCTTAGTAGTTAAAGTGGAAAAAATAGTAGATATACAGTAAGAAATCAAGCATATTGACAGGGTGATCAAAATTAATATCACCAAGGAGAAGATGGACATTCTGTGCCTCCAGATGTGACACTCTGAGAAGGACACAATGTCACTTTTGCACCATTCCAGAAATGCATATTTGGAATCTAATCATGTGGAAAAATCAGACAACCTCCAACAATAAACATTCCATTAAAATGTGTCATAAAAGACAAAGAAAATTTATAAAAGTATTCCAGATTGAAGGAGACTAAAGATATGTTACAACTAAAGACAATACCTGATCTCAATGAGGATCTTACATTATACTAGCAGAAAAATATACAATAAAAGATATTATTGAGTCAATTGACAAAACTGGAATACAGATAGTAGATTAGATAAGAATATCACATCAATGTTAAATTTGTGAATTTGATAACTGTATTGTGGTTATGTAAGAGAATATTTTTTTGAAATATTTAGGAATAAAAGTTCAGGTCTTGGTTGTATGCAAGTTACTTTCAAATGGTCCAGGAAAAAAAGTGTGTATATATGTGTGTGTGTGTATCTTGATACGTATATATCATATATATTACATCTTTATGGAGAGAGTGAGAATGATCAAAGCAAATGAGGTAATAAGCTAACAATTGGTTGAATCTATTTAAAGGGTATATTGGTATTCTGTGTTCTTATTCTTGCAACTTCTCTATAAATCTGAAATTATTTTCAAATAAAAGTTAAAAACAAAACCCCCCAGGTTACAGGTGAATATTATACCTGGAAAGTATACATTAGCTGTTTAGCAGCTCACTTAATTTATCAAATCAGAGTTACTAATATTTAGCAGGTACTTGCTGTGAGCCAAGCATTGTGCTCTAATTAGCACAATTCTAAAAATCACATTCTTCTTGATGTTTGCTTACAAACTCCTTTTAGTGTCACACTCTTCCATTCACTGAAAGAAAGCAGCGTATGATACATTTGAAAGAAAGCATGGTTCCATTTGCCTTTCATGGCAAGCGCTCTAAGTAGATTATCTCATCTGATGCCCCCCAACAGTGGGTACTATTATTATCACCAAGTGACAGTTAAGGAAATTGAGGCACAGAGGGATTAAGCAATTGTAACAAGAATTCACAGCCAGTAAATGAAGGAGCTAGGATTTGAACTCAAGCAGTCTGGATCCAGAGCCTTAGGCCTGAAGCAGGCTGATCAAAGTGGGTCTAGAGTGGTCAAGCCCTATGAGAGATGATAGTGCTGACCAAGAATGCCAGACCAAAAGCCTGGCACCCCAGCAAGGATCTAAGTTGAAAAGGGTCCAAAACGCTTCCAATTTTGCCTTGGATGAGTTCCAATATCATGGAAAGAAGTTCCTCTGTTATGCCTCTCATAGGAAGACTGTCTCTACTCCTGATGTTTTAGATTTTAAAAAACTGGAGTGTTCCTTTTTAGTTAGCTAGTATGCATAGTTAACATACAAACAGACAAGTTAAGCTAATAGCTGGTTATCAATCACTCTAAAGTTGTTATTTAGCCAACTAAGGCAAGCAGGTTTTCTAAGCTGTGGTATAAGGCTCTATGGAAACTTCTAGCCACAGATTATTTTGCTACAGTCAAATGCACAGCTTAGATTTCTCCAAATATAGACAAAGTGGAAATAGAAATGCCAAATGTAAGAACTATTTGGCATTCTAAATAGAAGAATAGACTGAGGGAAAAAAATGCTCTAATTGGAGAACTTTTCCTTCATTAACTAAGCAAAATAACAAAGTTTTCTGTAAAACCATATGAAGCTAGTCATCTCAGGATAATGCCAGTTACTTGATGAGTCCCTTAAACCCTATTACGAGTACCTATGGGGTTTGTAGTACATGCTATGAGATCAGGATAAAAAACATTGATTAGAGACATGGCCCCTGCCATCAGGGAGGTAAGAATCCAAAGCATCTTCATACTGTATTAGCCTGAAACTAAACACTATTCCCTTCCCATCCTCCAGCCTCAGTCCATTCAACATGTGTTTATGAAGCCCCCCACGATGAATGTGCAGGTCCTGGGCCAAGCACTGCATACTTGTTCTCTTATTTGTTCTTCACAATCACATTGCCAGACATTGAATCCAAACTGCCCAATCCAGAATACTCATCCTTCCCTTTGATTCTTGTATTCGTTATCTATTACCACAATAATGCTACAATTTATTTTTTTATTTTATTTTATTTTATTTTATTTTATTTTATTTTATTTTTGAGATGGAGTCTCTCTCTCTCTCGCCAGGCTGGAGTGCAGTGGCGTGATCTCGGCTCACTGCAAGCTCCACCTCCTGGGTTCACGCCATTCTCCTGCCTCAGCCTCCCAAGAATGCTACATTAAAAAAAAAAAAAAAA